TGATTAGCATATTCCATTGTGGTACTCTTGTTGTTGTTGTTGTTGCGATAATATCCTTGTGAAATGCTATTGGTTGGAGTGAATGTTGCGCATGGCTCAACTCACAAAAACGTTTAAATTCTTATCAAAATGGTGACAAGCAATAACGGTTATTATTAACATATACTCGTACATAAACATTACACACACATGCACACGCTAACGCATAAACTCTGATTTGCATAACATCTACCCGTACGTATATATTTAGAAACTCCTGAATTGGAGTCGCGTTGTTTGTTTAAATTTGTGAATTGCAAAAAAAAAAAAACTTGCAATTGTAATTGATGAATACCGTTATTTTCCACATAGTGTCTAAAGGCAATTGTTGTTGTTCCTTTTTCCACAAATATGAATTGAACTCTGCAATTCAAGAGCTGGTGACACAGAGCCTCGAGTGTAATTTCATATATTTACATTAACACACTCTTATGCTTCTTAACTGGGCCAACACGCACACACATACTCGTATGCACATTCAGAGCTGCTGGGGAATGTCAACAAAGAACAACATATTATGGTCATTATTATAATTTTCCATCGAACATTTTTGAATTTCACGCAACGTTGGGAGCATAACAATTCGCCAGATATCCCAGATATTTTCATATTTGTATATGTGTGTATTGCATGTATATGTTTTGTAGGATAAATTTATAAAATTGCCACGCATACATTTGAAAATGTATGTGTACTCACGTGTATACATATAAGCTGGATCCAAGAATTTTGGTACGTTCCTCCTTTAGAGTTGCATGAAACTTTTTGGCTTTTTGATTTGCCATCCACTGGAGAAAAAAGTTTCGGGTGAGATGTGCTTTATCCTCAAAATCGAATGGAAAATGAAAATTTGATATTTACACAGTGCGAATGCCTTTAAAAGCTATTTAGATGCATTTTTGTTTTTCGAGCTTGATCCTGAGGCTTCTTTAGACTGACAGCGCCATTGAAAAGTAACGTCTTCTCGGCGAACAAACACAAAGTTCTACAGGTCACTCGGCATTCCCGGTGTATAGTCCAGAAGCGTGGACGAGGACATAATCCGGAGAGTCAGTATCAAGGGTGGACCTTTCCGTACAGCCGGTCGCAATCTTAGTGGCAAAGGACTCGGGCCATCTGGGTAAAGCTCTGAAGTACTTAATTAAAACCTATGTGTTTGTATCGGATTGTCGATCATGTGATATGATGACTTCACTAAAAATAAATAAACTATCAATGAAGTCTAAAGTGAAAATGGAAGTCAGCTGTTTCGAATCACCCTAATATCCATACATGTATTTATGTGCATAAATCGCATGAATTCCGTTAATGTATTTACAGGAATTACAGCGGTAATTTCTCTTAAATGCTATAAAAAGTATGCATGTATATACAAGATGTGTGTGTATGAGTGCAAATATGAAAATATGCTACGAAACACTTTGGGAGCAACACACGCTGTCACATACGTAGATATCTATGTGTACAATGAGAATATTTGCACTATTAATTATTTACGAGTAACTCACTTAAATAGGAAGTACCACACACACACACACACACACACACACGCACAACACACATGTAAATAAGTATTTGTGGCTTAACCGTTATACTTTTCCCAACAAATTAAGCATCATTGCTGTAAAACTCCCTGACAGTCGTTCAATGACTCCGAATGCACTCAGAGCAGTCACTACCCTGCGGCGAAAAGCCAGACTGGTACTAAAAAATTCTACTTAAATACTAGTACGTCAAAGGTGCAATCATACCAGTTCACCATTTGCTGTCGCATATCTAGCAAGCAATTTCTACCACGCCACGGTATGGCAAACTGCTGTTATGCTCTGTTGAAGAGCGCTGTATGTTGCTACTCATAGCATCGCCGAGGTAGCCGAGCGGTTAGCGCTCAAGACTGTCGTGCAAATTCATTTCTGTGTTTGTTATTAAAGGAATAAAAATTGAACATACTTAACCTAATTGGTCTTCAACTAGTACGGAACTGATGGAGAAGTAGCAAATTTTTGAAAAAGATGGATGCTGAGCTAGTTAGTGTGAGAACGCGAAGCACTTGGCCTCTAGTTCATAACTAGTACTTTTCCCTGCATGGTATGAGTCTAGCTACATATATATATATATATATATATTTATATACGTGTATATGCATGCAAATATGTATGTATGTGTGTGGGTATGATGGTTTCCTAGTGAAATTCGCTCGACAACATGCGGCATCGTCGACTTCATTTTTGTTATAGTTGCCGCATCGTTGCTGTTGTTATTGTTATTGTTATTGTTGGTGCATTTGTATTGTTATAAAATTTTAATTAAAACATACACTGCACACATACATATGTATTTGAAAATCTATTCAATCACACACTTCTCCACTTAAAATAATGCTCTACAAAAGTCAGGAGCCGAGCTGGTATTAATAATTATTTAGAATTGGTGCTGGGTCTCTTGAGTTATAATATATTTGCTTCTGGTTTTAACGCTATATGACGACATAATAATGAATTTCAAATTCAATTACGGAAAGTCATAGTGGGCGTTGCTGGAAAGAAAAAAAATCACCCTACAACTCAGTGAAATATAATGAATTTGATGTGTTCATAATAAATTTAAAGACTTCGCATAAAGTCAACTGCGATGTAGAAAAAATCTCCCGGAAATATAATGGGTAAAATTCTTGTGTGGATTGGCTTTTGGGAGAGGACCTCTTGCCATTGTTGCATGTCCACGTTCGCCGTTCAGTGCTAAATCAGAATAATAATAAATGAAAGAAGAGGCAGATCTTGCAGAGGTGGTAGCAGTTGCCATGCTTCTTATATGTGGAGCTTCCCTTCTTGAAAACAATGTTTCAAAAGAACAGAATTGAACAGAAAAAAATTAAGGAGCTGCGCCATTCTGCAAAGGTTTTTTCATTTGTAGATGAAAGCACTTCTCAAAATTAGAGATTTTTTGAATCATTATTTTTGGCAGTTTAGCTGCCGTTCGAAAGTCGATTCCGACCTCTTCTTTTTTTGATATTTTCACACGTCCATATCTGAAGCTGTTTTCTATAATTTTCACCTTATTTTTAATCGAACTAAATAAAAACAATATTTTTGTTTTTTACTTTTTTGATACCAAGCCAAAAGCTTATTAAGCTTAGGATTGGTGTTCATTTAAAAAATAGAGAAAAGAACTCAGTGACGGTTTGGACTGCCCTGAATCTGGGATTGATCACAGAAGGTCGGGGTTATAAATGATTTTTGTACTAAACAGCTACAGATTTGTTCATCAGCTGTTATAAATAAGATAGAAAAAGGATAAGGAAAAGCCCCTGAAGATGCTAAAATATTTAGCGAAACGTTGGGTAAAAAGTGGATAAATTAGTCTCATTTGCACTAATCAAACCAGATCAGCTAAGCCTAACTAAATAATAAAAAACATCTAATATATTTGAACTGATCGCTTAACAAAAATTAAGAAAATACTTATTTATTTAAAGTAATTGATTCTTGAAGCTTATATAAGGAGGAATCAAATCTTTGTTCAAACATCGGTTTTTCAAGAACACAATAAAAGGGGTCTAGATGATCTTAAAAGGTTGATAACACCCCTTATCGATGCAGTTTAAAATAATCTTCAAACATCCCTTTACGACTATGCGGTGAAGGCAGACTAATGAGCTGTACGTTATTTTTACAAAGAGGAAGAATCTTATTTGCATCCCATCTGCCTTTATACACATTCCAATTTATCTCAATAGAATTGATAGTCCATACTTCATACAACTGGATCTAATTTGGTAATGAAAGGATGATTGATGTCCTAAACCCAACATTTAATGAAAGCTGAGAGTTATTTTGCCTTATTAACACAAGAATTTATATTATTCCGATAATTTAACTTGAGGTCCATTTTTTCATTATAAAAACTTTTTTATGGTACATTTAAGAAAGCTTTAAAAAAGTAACTTAAAGAAAGTTAGAACATTTATTTCAGAACTACCCTTTATTACATAGTTTTTCTAAAGAGAATAGTAAAAAATATATATTATATATATTTTCCACTGATATCTTTTACGTGTCCAACTCCTGTCGCAGATACCTTTTCCAAAAGCGTACACAAATCCAATATTTCAAAGTACCGCTTTTCTTATAGACACGACATTGGCCAATTATGAGCTCAGAATAAATATATTTAATGTAAGTTTATATTATAAAAATTTACTTTATTATCAAAAGCTTCCTTCACATTTCGCTACATCGAATTATAATATGCCAAAGAAAATAATTAATATATTTTTCTTTGTAACGAAATGTCCTTTTAACAATCATCAATAAACCTGAAGAGTAGACATCACTCTTTTCAATGATGAAAAACTTTAAGTTCACCCTTCTACAAAAGCAACGTCTCTTGCTAAGGCAGCGTGTGCAAGAGGGACAATTGGTTACTTACTTCGCCTGAATATTATTTCATCATGATTTTTGCCTTCTTTTGTAATTTTATTTAGTTTTTAATTTAGAAATTTTTTTTAGCGAATTTTTGATAAGTTGCTAGCCAAAAATACATGTGCATATATCTACATATATGTATATGTAGGTATTCCAAATAATAAATAAAAATAACTAAATAAGTTTCCGCTAACATCGAATAGGACGCAGGATCCGTTTAGCGCCGCTTTGAAATCGGCCTCATTTAATGGGAAAATGCGCTCATAAATACATGAGTAAATATATTTGTATGCTAACATTTATTATTATTTGCGAGCATGTTTTGTTGTTAAAAACCGCTAATATTTCATTTTCCCAATATTCATGCCACATGCTGAACGTGTTGCACATGCAAACTTTTTGAAAATGTTCATAAAATTTTCTAGGCATCATTAGCAGATTTCGCGTGCATATTTGTATTTATTGTAGGTATGTACTGGTATTTATTTATAAACATTTAGTGGAGTGAAAGGTAAACCATCATTCAATGAAGGGCGCTGGCACTGAACATGAAAAATTAGCCTATTCCTAACACTGCGAACAATTTACATACAGACATAACGAAATTGATGTTGAAAACCCCAATTGCAATGTGACAGCAATATTGGCATAAATTAATGAATGGTAATTTGGGCAACAACATGAATGCATCTGCTCATGCAATAGTCGAAATTAGTATGTAAATGCAATATCATGTGGAATGCTGCTTAAACACATGCAGCCGGAGCCGCAATAAAAGTTCTGTCCTCGATAGGTGAGTGCCTGCGAATACACTAGAGCATATGTATATATATAGATATACTTTTATGAATAATAATATAATATATAATATAGAAATATATTATTCTAATTGGCGCTTTTTAACCGCTGCAGAGTAGATACTCGCTGCCTCTACATAATTATATGTAAAAGAGGTGATAGCACCTCGCATAGACCTTCCCAGAGTGGCAGTAGTGCATCACCGTCTCTAAATACCTAATCTGCTATAAAATCGGGTGGAAGCTGATTTGATGATTTCTTGATCTACTGAGAGGTGGCACTGTTGTGTTGATATCACGTGATATGTCGATGTGCTATGATGTGCTACTGTGCCAGCTCCAAAGCTCTGATTAATTACGTATGAGGAGTCTATGAATTAAGGGTACGGTGGCCACGGTCAACGTACAAGCTCGATGAATTTGGCGCTGGGCTCAACTTTTGATATTCATGACTAAGCTATTGATTGGGTTTCCATGAGCTTTATATGAGCAACCTTGCCTTATTTTATTACCTTAGGTCTCTGGAGTATAACGATTAGAAAATAAAAGAACAACAGAATCGGCGGTAATGATGTTCAGACAAATATTTTAAGACACCAATGCCGTAAGGAGATTAAATGCCGAAAAACACCCTGGAGCTCAAGGCTAAAACGAACCAAGTTCGACTATTGGTACCCCCACTAGTCTTCAACCCCTTCAGTGGTGACGGAAGCTAATCAATGCCTACTACCGCTACTACCGAAGCTCTCTCCGCTCATTTATTGTTAATATAAAAAGAGTCCTGATCCATGTGGTAATTCATTAAGAAGACATACATGGCATCAAGCGATTATGCAATTCAGACAAAGATTCTGAAAGCTGGAAAAAAGACACTTTTGAGATCTGCACAAGGCGTTGACGTTCTATATGATTTTTGCATCTCAACTTCGATTGAACCTCCTTCTTTTGTCGCAAAAGATCAACATAAGGCAATTAATTATAATAAAGTCAAAAGTGTACTGCAACACCGTTATTGCCTCGTTGAGAAGTATTTTTGATATGAAACTTAATAAACTCTGCGATAGGGACATAGCGAAATTTACTCGGTTTATGTAAAACAACTTCTGTCCCTTATGTGTGGATATATGAATATATGAGTTCAATTGTAAGATAGGTTATATATGTATATCGTATATATTTACTGATGCCCACTTGCGAAAGCAGCCGCCAGCAGCTCACTATAGCTATCCGAAAACAAAAATGCTTAAGATCGAGCGGAAAAATTGCGTTGTCCGCATACGGCGGCAATGCGTGTGACATATGGCCTGTGGTGTGTGGTGTGTGGTGTGCGGTATGTGCATGTGGCATGTGGCATGTGGCACGCGAGCATTGTGCGTAAAGCGGCATGCAATTATTGTTGGTTATATTAAAACAACAACAATAAGAACATTTACAACTTGTCTACAATCATGAACAGAGTCACCCGCACACACAGTCACACATTCGCTGGCATGCGAATGGCTTTCAAGCATTAACGCGTTGTGCTGTAACTGCCAATTTCAATTGTTGCTGGGCATTATTGTCGCCAATATGGGTTATAAAATAACAACAAAAGCCAGAACTTAACAACTTGTAGTTAATTAAATAACGGTAATATGTTTGTGACTTCAAAATCATGGCGTACGTGTCAAGTGGCAAGCAGCGCGCAGAAGCGTACACACACACCCACACACAGTTAGACGTATGTGCATGCGAATTTAAATAGCGAGCTTGCCACAAATGTTGCATATGAATATTCAAGCGAATTTTTCACACAGCGGTACCCAGCGAACGTAACGAATTTAAAATTGTGCAATTGCCGCAAAGCGTTCGAAAATGGTTTTTGTGTTCCGAAATAAAAAATAAGAAAATAGAGAGAATCAAAACTATTTCACAAATCCAATAACATAGTCCCACTTACACACACACACACACTTAAATATGCAACATGTAACTAACAACCCAAACAAATCACACCCAGACTCAAATAACGGTTTTTGTTTGCGCCTGTAACACAACATAATTTAATATTCTTTCGCGCTTCGCCTACGGGCTGCCTGCCCCTCCCCTTTCCACAGATCCCGGCGAGCTGGTGAAACTTGTGAAAAAATGTCGGCAATTTCGCGAGTGGTGGCAAGTGAATGGGGCAGTGAGCAGCGGCATCAGGGGCAATGAATGGCTTTGTGTTGTAATAAATATTTGCATAGCGTGATAGGAAACGCCGTTGCTGGCCTCGGCCGCCAGCTATGTTGGCAGCGAAAAATTGGCGTGCAAAAGTAAATATTTTTTCCACACTTTTAGTTGTACATATATAATCCTACATACCTACACGTGTATATATATATGTATATCTACAAATTTGTTGTTGTTGTTTTAATATTTATTTTACATTTTTAGAAAATCAATGTTGGCGTACGCCAGCAGCAGCAGTCGTTGTTTTGTTGTTACTGTTATTTTTGACGCTATTGCTGCTGTAGCACGCTTATCAGTTGGCAACATAACTGCATGTGGCAAGCAATTTATGGTCGCCGCATGGCATATTTCGCAATAATATAGCAACAACCTGGTGTGCGTGAGTGTATAAGTGTGCGTGTGTGTGTGTGTGTGATGCAACAAGAAGAAGGCAGTAACTAACGGCATAGTCAGAGTACAAAAAGCAACAACAACAACACGCAATGGTAATACAAATTGTTGAAAGTCAAAAAGTGTTCAGACTCACACATGCAATACATGCTCACACACGTATTCACACACACACGATTATCGAGTCATGCACAAAGGCAATTTACTCTCGCCCGCACACACACATACACGCACGCGCGCGCAGTGAAACACGCAAACCTCCGGCTGCCGGCATTCGTTTGATAAAGCCCTCTTGTACGCGTTGCAATCACTTATGCCCGGCCTCGCTCATCGCATTGCTGCAACATATCACCGTGCATGCACCGCACATTCGCCACATATCAGCACTTGCCTCGCCGCGCGACACCGCTCAGCATCGCATCGCATCGCCTTGAACACCGGGCAACGGTATTTGGTGCAGCAGCAGCTGTGGACTTTGGAGGCTCTGCTGATTTTCACGAACTGCTCTTTTGACCAATTTATGTTGTTGTGCGTGCCAGCCGCAGTCGCTCATGCTATTACTATTGTTTTTGTTGTTGCAATTGCAAATATCAATGCATATATGGAAGCGGCTTTTTGCCACTTGATTGCTACAAACAAAATGGCGCCACAATGAACTCTTTCGAAATAACATTTTTTCTACTCCCAAATGGGCAATTCGGCAGATAAGGTATTTTTGATGAAGTGCCTGCGCCGCGCTAGGAAACGGAAGATGGACTTGCCGGTGGGTCGGTGTGTGAAAGCAAAAATCGTTCATGTGCATTTTGGTGGGGAAAAGAGTTAGTTGCACGAGAAGTTTGACTTGCAAACATTTATGCGACTCACTGTGGCTTATGAAAAATTACATTTAAAAAATGTTCCAAGCAAATATGAATGTATTTAAACTAGTCTAATAAAAATCGTTCAGAAGTTTGGTTATTGGTACAAGGAACTTGTTCATTTACAATTTTCAACAAATTATGTACACCAATGGTAACCAAATATTCCATTAGTAACTATAAAGAAATTGCGCAACGAAAATTATAAAAAGTTATCTCTGTGCGTGATGGGCCATGGCGTATACGCGACATTTGTAGGAGTTAAGTGCGGCATATGTATAAGTACATACATATATTATGTATAAATATGCAAGTGCATATATGTGGAAATATGACTATATCTGAGGTGTTACCGAAAAATATTTTAATGGATTTCTATATGAAAAATGACGGGCTCTCTTATTTGTTTAGTTTAGTTCTTATTATATTTAGTTATTTCTTTATTTGTTAGGAGAGCACATTTTGCATCCAATCAGTCAAATTGTTGTTGTGAGAATTTCATGTGTGCTTTTTACCTTGACTAATTACATTCACAGCAGGTGCATGATAAATTGTTTGCACTTCTAACAGGCAATCATACATGCAAATGCATTAGGGTGGATTCTCATCTAATCAGTAAAAAAACAATTTGGTTTTAAAGAAAAGGAACGCGTAATGAAATTCGGCTTACGTAAATTTCTTGACAAAATTCGATATTTTTAAAATTTAATCTTTAATCTCATATAGGTATAAAAATCTACTGTGCATTTGGAAAGATCCAGTGATCCCCACAAATCTTCAAAAGTCACTAACCAATTGACTTGAAATTTTCCAGATTGTTTCTATGGTTCCTGGAAAGGTTTCAGGAACAAACAAATTCGAAAAAATCTTAATTATGATTCCAATTACTGGATACTTGGTACACGTGCGGTGGCTTTTTGTTTAATCTAGTAGAAATAATACTCTCTTTATCCTTCTCTCCGCGAAGTGGATCAATGTAAAACAAAAAATAAAACATGGGATGAATAAGCGAAGCTTAGCAGGATACAGCTAGTCCCCTTATAGAAAAATAGATTCGATGCAGAAAAGGTAGCTACTACCAGTCTAATAGACCTTATATAATAAATACTTAATTATATATGTATATGCACGTGTGTACATACCCTCAAGTATGTTGTCTCATTTACATCATTTACAATAATTCATGTATAAATAACCAAATATTGTTGAGATTGTTTTTGAAGTGTGCGTCCTTGTGGTTACCTCGATACATAGGGACATACATACATAGACAAATATGGCAGCAAGTGGTGGTCAGCATTGCTCAATGCTTTGCATTTGCTTACACTTGAGTGGGTAATTTTTCAAGGAGAACTTAATGGAATATTATTTGCAAAGAAAACGAATCAAATTAGATTGGAGATGAATTTACATGGAAACTGCTATGTTATTTACATAATTATAAGTAAATATGTATATATAGTATGTACGTATGTACATATCTACACAGCTTTTCTTTTTCGCTTCAATGTATGAATAAAAAAGACATTTAAAGGATG